AGGTCTTACACAAAGAGATAATGGTCCAATATATTATGATCTAAGCAATAATAGTTCAAGTCTCGCAGTTCAGAGATATAGTGAGTTATATGCTGGGTTGATGAGAATTAAAGCTTGATATATAGTAATAAAACTAGTGATCTAGAGATGAATAGATTGGTGTACGGAGCAAAATATTTTCCTGCCACAGATTAGAGCAGGGATACTTGTCCATAAAAAGGGAAGTATACCATAAAATCTCCTTTTTCACTTGTTATGCACGAAGAACTATAATGTGTACAGTTCTACAAACAAATGCATGAAAAGAACAAAGACCTTTCCTAACATTAAGTCTTTGCCTACCTTAGACAAAGGTTTGTTTTACCTTAAAATAAAACTGATCTAATATTAAACTACAATTCGTATGTGTGACAGTCCATGCCAGCTTTTATCAGTGCTGATCTCGGTGGCACTTCACCTGTTCCTATAAATTTTACATTTGACTTGAGGTTAAAAATATATATGTAGTTGTCAGATATTACAAAAAGTAAATAAAAGAGCATATCTATATTTGGGCCAGCAACTGAAATAAAAATTCCAAATTAATTTTCTAGATTAAAATGCCTTTTTAAAATTTGTTTTTATAATATGAATGAATTGCAGGAGCAAAACCAGTTTAGTGGTACTATTAATCAGGTCTTTTGTCTTGCTAATATAAATCAGGCAATAACAACAGATGGGCTGTATACTTTATTATGTGAAAATAAAGATGAATGTGACATGCTGCAGAAGTAAACTTGCAGCTCAAAGTTACTGAGCACAGAAGGGGATTTGTTACAAGAGAGAATGATATGTGCCTTGCATTTGTGTTTGATCAAGGTTGTTAAGGGGAGCTTGCTGCACATGCTATTGGCATAATGACTGGAAATCAAGTATGTGAATTTTTAGTGTTTGTATCTACACTCCCAGATCACTCCCAAATGGTTTAAATAGCTTTTTTCCTCCAGAAAGAAGGAAAAAATGTCTATCTACTTAGAAGAGTTAAATAAGAGAGTTATAAAGTTTGCTGCTTTGTCACACCACTGGGAGATGAACATTTTTAATAACCAGTGATAACTGTCAGGAAGATTCAGATCAAAGTCTCAGGCAAGATTTATACCCTCGTAGAGTGATGGAGTGCACAATGGGAGGCAACCCCCATCCAAATTACAGAAAAAGGCCCAGCAGGCCACACAGTTATAACAAAGTCATCCCTGAAAAGCCTAAGTCAGAGTTTGGTCTTTGTATGGACAGAGGAATGACCTGTCTTTAACTAGAGCTGTCAGGAGAAACCTTGATTTAAGTATTTATTAGAAACAGTGGCCTCATGAAAATATTGATTCATGAGATTGCTTTGATGTTACCAGAAGTTTGTTTTATAGAGAGTTGCAAAAAGTCTCAGCGTGGTCAAATGTCCTATGTTGTCATTTTCAGAGATAAATATCTGTGTGAGATTTTTTTTAGGAATATTGTGGTTTATAATTGCACTGACATTATAATTATGCTCACATGTTCCTGCAAGCATTACAATGGAAGCATAACAGCCTATTAGTCTAATTAAAAAACCAAAATGCAAGACTTGAATCCAAGATGCATAGATGAGGCCCTCAGTGACATGGTTTAGAGGTGGTCCTGGCAGTCCTGGGGTAATGGTTGGACTCGATGCTCTTAAACGTCTTTTATAGCCTGATTGCTTCTATGGTTCTGCGTGTGTTGGTTCAAAACCTGCCCCAAATCAGCATTCTAAACCATACTACAGCCATGCCTATTGTGATAGGCAAGCCATCATTAGGAAATTTAAGGTGTTTTCTCCTCAACCCATCCTCATCCCGAGAGGTGAGTACCGCAGCCTGGCACAGGGGAGCCGTGGCTGCACACCCTGTATACCTGTAAATAACTACCCTGCAACTTCTGCCGGCGATGGCTGGCGTGCCTGGGCCAGGAGGCCCTTTTTTGGGGGAAAGCAGGGAACACCAAGAGACTTCCCACTGTGAATCACACAGGCTGATTAAGCTGCCTGTTACCTTTCAGCAGCTGATAGAAAGAGCAAGGGGCCCTGAATGCTAATGGAGGTAGGACTAACTTTGCAGCGTGATTGGGGTTTTTCTGCCAAACCCCGTTATGATCATATTCTGGATGCTTCTCTTGAGAATCTGCTCTATAAAAGAAAAAATTACTCCAGTGTTGCTAGTGATAGGAACAGTACAAATGCAAGGATTGAATGAACATACTCCAGATTAAAAAGAAAAAAAGACCTTTCTTAGCTACTATCTTATATTTATTTTAAAAGTGCAGATTTTAAAAGCCAGTTTCTAGGGTCAAGGCAGCTTCTGCACACTCTGTTTGTGTGACATTTTGTGAATGGTTTCCATCTATGTCTCTAACATTTAAGAGCAGTTCAAATGACTCTGAATAGCAATGAGAAAAAAATGTGTAAAAATAAAGCTGGGCTTTATTATTGCTTAAAAAGAGTAAGGTGGAATTATAGAAAGAAGCCTGTAAGAAAACTGGTTTGTACCTGACTGCATGATGCCAGGCTGGTGAAGAGAAACAGCAATCACCACAATCAAAACATGAGATTAGGTTGTACTGGGCAATACTGTGAACCCACTTAAAAATAAAAACAGTATTTAAACTGCAGAAGCAGTTACCTTCAGGAAGAAAAGCCAAAGCCCACACACGTTCTCCAGGCTGATGAAAGAAATTATTTTAAATCCCACCTGTTTTCTTCTCTGCAGCTTGCTAGTCCTTCCTTTTAGACCTTTTAGTTACATCTTTGATAAGACGCAGTTAATTGGTCAGGCAGTGTAAGTATTGTCATTGATAATGTGCAGAAATCTAGTGGTGAAAATAAATACATTTGTTCTTCCAGTCACCAGAAATTAGTGAAGCAATACTTGTTTAATTATGAAACATATGTGTGCTTTGTTAGTTTCCATCTGTCTGCTCACTGATTTGCAATTAAATGACCAGAAGAAAAAGATACGTCCTGTGGCAATTCAGAGGAAATGATTCATCTCTAATGGTTCTGTGTCTATGGAGCAGCATGTGCGAGAGGGAGACAGAGGGAGTGGAGAAGAGAGTTATGGATAGAAGGGTATGAGAAATGCTGAAAAGCTTCTTGCTTTGGCTCAGACATGTTTTGTTGTCCTGAAACAAAATGTGAATTCCCATTAACTTACCGTAACTTGTCTTTCTCTTTTGAAAAAAAATGGGGAGCAAAGGGGAGCAAGGAAGAAGTCCCTAATGGGAGAGGAAATGGGATTGCAGAAAAGGAGGCTGGTGTGGTCAGAATGAAAAAGAAACTGCAGAAGAAAAGGAATGATGGAAAAGTGATAAAAATTCTATCATTGAACCTGTTCACTTCTACTAATTCCCAGGGAGTGATACGGTAATGAGTCAGGCCTGTTACTCTTTGTAAAAGGAGACATCCAAAAGGGCAGGAGTATTTTTAAATCAATATGAAGGGGAAAAAAAAATAAGTAAGTTGGTGAACGTATGTTCTCTTCAGAAATAGTTTCACAAAAATCTTTTCCTGTGTAAGGTATTTCTATCACTGATGAATATGTACAGTCTACCTCCATGTAGCTGCATGGATGGGTACCATATTACGTTCTTCCCCCATCTTCTTCATCTGTTCCTGTTCTTTCTTTCTGGACGAGCAGCAGCTGGAGAGCCTTTCATACCCCTTGTAATTCTGGACACAGCCTGCACAGGCATGTCTCGGGTATGGGGATGTAGCTGTCTGATATTTCATCTTTATGAATACTGGCAGGGAGAAGATAGCCAGCCATCCAAAGTATTTTTAGTTTGATGTTCTGTAGTGTCTTATTGATCATCAGCAGTGTCCATCACTGTATAACGATAACTGCTTTAGAGGCAGAAAGGGGGAGATTGAATAAGGTCTTCAGGACTGTCAGCTTGCTGATGGTGGTGTCAGTAGTTGGTGTCCCCCTCTGCTGTGCCACTGGGAGCTTCTTGGATGTTCTTGTGCATTGATGGCAGGTGGGGGGGGGGTGGGGTGGAAGTAGGATATTTCTCTGCTGAATTGGTGCTTTCTGATGTTGCAAACTTCCTCTGTAGAAAGGGGGAGAGGTGTTGGTTATAAAGGGGAATTTGTAAAGAGGGAGGGAGAGAGGAAGGGAAGTATATGTGTGTTAGGTGTTTTCAGGGTTGCATCCAGGTCATTGGATTCTTTTCCTCCTTCTCTAGACTTCTGACATTGACTTTATTGATTACCAGCAGCACTAGAGAGGTGCAGAGGTTCCTTACGTCAATAGGACGTATCTATGTTGGCTCAAAATGTCAACATCTCACAGCTGCTCTGCCCCATGTCCCACCTCTGATTCCTCTCAGTAGTAAGGACTGCACAGACTAGTGCACCACAAAGGAATTAAATAAAGCATATCTTGGTACCTTCATCAGCAGTCTTAGCAAGAGAGTCAGGGTATGAACAAAGAGGCACAAACTGAACTTACATTTAGTTGTTTGCCCTTAGAGCAGATTTCAAATTGCTGATCTGAAATGAAAAGCACTATTTCCTATTTATACGAGCCTCAGCCAGTGCTAGCTATGTGCATGCACTTGATTAAACAGTGAGATAAGTGTGTGTGGAAAGTGTGACCTTGAAGCCTCCAAAAGTTTCTATTATTTCTTTTTACGGTTTTGCAGGCAGCTCTCCCAAGTGCTAACATAATGTTTTATCGCTGGTATTGCTGCTGATGATAACAAAGGACCATTCCCAGACATGTGAATGTGCACAACCCTGTCACATCTCACAGAGGAAAGAGAGCTCAGGATGTGAAGAATAATTTCTTCTAGTCTGAAAACACCACTGCATTTAAGCCTTGGTCTAGGAATGCTCCTAAGATAGCATTTTCTAAAGAAGCTGTTCCTTTTGAAACTTTCAGAAAGTGCTTTTAAGTATTTGCCAGCTGAATTTTTGTTGTTTCATTTGTCTTTTTTTTTTCTTTCCTCTACAGATGATGATTTCTTTCATGAACTTCCAGAAACTTTTCCATCTGATCCTCCAGAGCCATTGCCCCACTTCCTCATTGAACCCGAAGAGGCTTACATTGTGAAGAACAAGCCTGTGAATTTGTACTGCAAGGCAAGCCCAGCCACGCAGATCTATTTTAAGTGCAACAGCGAATGGGTTCATCAGAAAGACCATGTGGTGGATGAGAGAGTAGATGAAACCTCTGGTGAGTTTGTGTTATGTCATGGAGGGCTCAGATGGAGGGCATTAATATCAAGCCCACTGTTGTAGTCTAGCAGATACTTCATATGGCAGCTACTTTAATTCACTTTTGATTCAGCTGTGAATTCTGTATCTGGCTTTACTGAACATTTGATGTCATAGCACAGAGGTGGTTTCTGCATTTAGGTCAGTTAGTAAAACATGATTGTAGAGCACCTTGCCCGAGTTTGAAAAAATAAACCAGGAGACCATGCACAAACAAAATGCAATTACTCACTTCCCCAGCATCACAAATTCCAGTGGTTGCACTGTATCGTAGTCACAGACCAAGAACCACTTTCTCCCCAAACTGCCAAAGGGTAGTTGGGTTGTTCCTAGAATGAAGTTTTCCTGGGGAGATTCAAGAAAAAAAAAGGAGAATTTTAATCAGCTTTCATCAAGAAAGAAGCAGAAAGCACACCTGGGCACAGTTTAGAGCAGTGTGTTGATCCAGAGCAACCACTTGGGTGTTATTCCATTACCCTCTTCTGCCTGTTTCATTGACCCTTTATGAAGGAAGACTGCAGTAGGTTAGCAAGGAAAATAAAAAAAAAATAAAAAAAAAAAAAGGAAGCCAAGAGCCTCATCCTTCCTCAGTCAATACCAGAATGAGGTTTAAAAACTAGAGTAATAAACCAGCATAGATCAAAGATACAATTGTTCCTATTTGGGAAGGCCAGTAATCAATAGAGTTTGTGTCATATGCAAGGAGAGGAGCAGGACTTACTGCTGTTTTGATGGCTCTAAGAAATAACTGGATACCAAGCAAGAAGGTACCTTTCATATGGGAATTATGCCACTATTTGGTCTAATTACTTAGAAAAATAACTCCACCAGATGTCTTGGAAGTCTCCTGTGAACTCGGTTTTATTTGTTTCAGCTCATTTATTTGCACAGAGATCAAAAGCATAAGCTTTTAATGGTACTGTGGTACACTCAGCTTGAAAAAGGGAAGGTGGGTGTAGGAAGAAAAGCTGTAGAAAAAAGGCTGTATTAAACTTCAAGCCTGTTTGTTTGTTTGTAAGAATTGGCTTTTCCAACAAGTTGACTGCAGCAGAAAAAGTGAAAAAAAAAAGAAATTCTTGTTTACTTAAAACATCTTCATGTTTCTTCATCCATGGGAGTCCACTGGAATGAAAGACAGGCAGGAGGGCAGCTATCACCAGTTCAAAAAATTAACTAGTGTTAATTTTTAAACTTTTATTAATAACAGCATTCAGAAACATGGAAATGCTTCACTACAGGTGAAATTTTTCACTGCCGGTGGAATATTCGTTCTTTTTTTCTCACAAAACTTAATTGTAGAAAAACTTCGCGATGCCATAAAGCAAATTGCATTCTACAAATGTCAAAGGCCAGCCTTGAAAAGAGTTGCATCTGAATATATTGAGGACAAATGTTTCGCATAACAAACAGCAGCAATTATACGCAAACAAAACCCATATCCAGTTAGAGATTAACATAATCTACTGGCATCTTGGGGGTGGGAGGGAGAGGAGGGTGTCAAAAGCTGTGCATATCAGATTTTTAGCACAAGAGCTACAAAGCCCCTCACATTAATAGCTTGTTAAAATGCAACTGTCATCGGAACCTACATTTGTTAGTCAACCTGGTTGTTGCCAAAAGGTTGGTTAGAGCATGGTTTCAGTTATTGTGCACCTTCTGGTAAGCAGACTGAGAATCTGGGGCTCATAGCACATAGTTAGTATGGAAATGAGTAAATAATTTATTTAAGGCAGTGGCAAAAGAATATCTTCTTCAAAGCAATCGAAGCTCAGGAAAATATATCCACTGAAGATGGAGCTGGAGGAAAAGTTGCAGGAGACACTGACTGTGAGGATTCATTCTGGTGCCCGAAGAAGGAGGCATCAGCTTGACAACTTGCACCAGCCAGTCTGGCAAAGCCCTTTGGCTCTATCATTTTTGAGGCTATTTTGGTTTCTTTTGCTATTTTTGGCTGGCTAGTGCAGTAGTTGTAACTGAGGGCACACCAACAGTGACTGAGTTGCTCAGAGGATGGAGTGAGGATGGCGTAAGGATGGCAGCCCAAGTCTATGCTGCTGCTGGCTTCAGGCTTTTATCCAGAGAGGCTGGTGAAATCCTCCTGCAAACCAAATTAGGTCTAGCCTTTATACTGGTAACCCAGGGCTCAAAGCGATCTCGGTTACACAGTGTTTCTGATGGGTCAGTCATGTAATCCCAGCAACTGAAAGCTGGATGCTTTCTTCTTTCCTGATATTTTACTGTTCTTAAGGTCTGCTCTGCCTAAATACAAAGAAAAGCACCATGCCGAGGTGGTCTGCTGCTTGTTTTTGAACCAGGCTTTCTCTTACAGTGCGTTAGGTAGAAAAGCAAAGCAAAGGAAAACAAGACAGGCAATAAAATATATGAGAGGAAAAAAGTAGAGGTCACCTATGCTTGCTTTTCTAAAGGACAGGTAATCAGAAATAAAGAGGACTAAAATACAGGTGTGATGCTAGCAGTACATCATCTTGGGATTGTAAATGATGCATGAAAGAGAGAAATAGGTTTTGATTTGCAAAAGATTATGTGTTCATGGACTTTGAGCCTGTACTCAGGGGTGAAATCTATGTATAGATGATTAACTCCTATGAGGCAAATCTTTTGCTGTCATTGATAAAACCAGAGACAACAGCACAACAATAGCAGTGGCACCAGAGAACACAGTGAGTGCAGCAAGCTCTCATTGAAAAGAACTGTTAGATAGAAATGCTGAATATATTAAGAAGGTTATTTTTTAAGATAGATAGGAAAATAAATATTCATGTATTTTTCCTACTTTTATATTTTTTTCTTTGTAACAGAGAGAAGGTACAAAATAAGAGTTATATGCACTTTGCACTGTGGGGTATTTTTAAACAGTAGATAAAGAATTGCTGTAAAGAACATGCATGGGGACTCTGTGGGAGCTGTTGCTTTCTGGTTGGAGAAGATGAGAATAGTAATAGTGACAGTGTGTTCTACTACCACTTCATTTAATTAAATTAGCCTGAAGAGAGAGCCCTGCAAAAGAAAATTGCAATGGTCGAGTTTGAGAAGCCAGAAGCTTTACACAGAAGATCATTATGTTCTCTTTCTTAATCTTCAGACTCACTGAAATTTTTCTTCTTTATGGAAAAAACTAAGCATTTTCATGAGGAAGTCAGATGCTTCGAAAATCTTTAGTGCACATCTTTGACTCTTTCATTCCCTATGTATGTGAAGTACAGGGCAGGGCATGGCCTTTTTTATGTTTTTATGGACTATTTTCCCATTAATGTGGAAAAAAATATGCAAAGAATAAGAGCACTGGTTTTAAAAAACAAAGGTGAAAGTTGTTTTGAGGGAGCACATTTGATTTTATGGCTGACTGTCATAGAAGATAACAGCAGCAAAAGTAAAAGGAACCCTACAGAACTGATTCTTTTAGGGGCAAGAAAATTCCATTGTCATAAGGCAGGAAGCTCAGTAGCATCAATAATTATTAGAGCAATTTGTTCACATTTTCCAAATTACTGTACTTCTGAAAATGACTATGGCAAAAGAATTTATTTTGTCCACTTTTGATGGAGATATATTTTCAGACACACACACACCAGTCCTGCAGTGGAGGGTGAGTTGCAGATGCATACAAAATCAGTGTCCTGCACCCTTTTCATTTGTCCAGAGGGATTAAATGCTAAATCAAACCCCACATCCTGTGATGTACAATAGAGAAAAATCAGGACTACAGGGACCTTGGTTTTGTCTTTTCAATTTGGATATGCATTCTAATAGTTTCCCCATGACTGTTAAGGTGAAACGATCTATAAAACCCTCTTGCCCTCTGCAATGCCAATGACATATTCTTCTTCTCTCTCCTTCAAGCAAGGAGAAAACAACATTTGGGACTCTTCTAAGTGCTAATTAAATAGACATATTGGGCAATTCAGCTGGCATTATTGTTTGCCTACACTTTCTGTCTTCTTTTGCTAGATGCACAGGGAGAGGAGGGCACAGGGAGTTTGCTGATGACCTCCTCTGTGTTCCCAAATAGAAACAAGATGGAATAAGAGCTCTTGAGCCTGGCCTGAGGCCCCAGTTAATGCAAAATGAACAGGCTTATGTGTTCAATCTCAGAAGAAAGGTGTGCTGAGGGAGGCTCAGTTAAAGAGCAGGTGAAGCTGCCAATCCTTTTTCCCATGTCCTGCCTTCAGAGGCAGGCTCTCAGAAAACCTAATGTCCCCCAAGAGCATCCATGGTACCACCCAGGCTTCTGCAACAATGGGTGGCTCCAGGGACTTTCCTTTCAGCTGTTTCTTCAACTTTCTGCCTAGCCACAAATCAATGAGAATGGCAAAATTAAAATCTGACTCAGAATAAGATTTTTGTCTGGTTAAGAGTGTTTATCAAACTGTACTGAGGTGGATGAATGTGGTCTTCTTTTCAGACAGAAATCTTAGACTTGTTTCAGTTTCTTTACATAGCTACTGCTTTGATTCCATTTCTTGCCTCCCACCATTACCTTTCCTCATGAACAAAGTATTTTTGGATGACTTGCAGATTTGATGAAAGGAGACCGAGCTTTTGACGTAGAGTCGGCATTGATCTGGCAAATAGGAGGCTGTTACCTTAAGCAATGGGTTTGGCAGCCTGTCGAGGGAGTAGGTACCCAGCTAGCCAAGCCTTTAATAGGTCACCCTCTCAACAGAAAGATCAAAGATTGATGTCTGCCCTTTTGACTTTAAAACACCTCTTACAAAACGCTGCAGCCAAGACAGCAGTGGGGAAACCCTCACAGTGAGTGTTTCTGCTCTTCTGGTACCACGTATAGAGTTAAGAAAATCATTTTCAGCACATAATGGTATGCCACTTTATCTTCCTCTCTGTGTCTACATCCTATGATAGCCATTTATTTTGGTGTTTGTGACACCAGAATTTAGAAGGCTGCATTACCCTCATGACATCAACTTGTTTGAACATTGT